GAGATAAAAGGGAACATTCTTGCATATTCCTAATTTGCCTCTCTCTGCCCTGACCTGAAGATCTTAGTGAGTTGCATATAGGATTTGACTTAGCTACAGTGACAGATCAGAATTAGTTGCATGTTCTAGTTTAATGAAAAGAAGGACGATAAGGGACATGATAACAGTGTTCCAATATCTCAGGGGCTGCCACAAAGAAGAGGGAGTCAAGCTATTCTCCAAAACACCTGAGGGCAGGACAAGGAGCAATGGGTGGAAACTCATCAAGGAGAGAAGCAATCTAAAACGAAGGAGGAATTTCCTGATAGTGAGAACTATTAATTAGTGGAACAACTTGTCTCCAGAAGTTGTGAATGCTCCAATACTGGAAGTTTTTAAATAGAGATTGGACAGCCACTTGTCTGAAATGATATAAGGCAAGGGCCTTCAAACTTGACAAGTTTAAGACTTGTGGACTTCAACTCCCAGAATTCCTGAGCTAACATGACTGGAGGAGGAATTCTGGGAGTTGAAGTCCACAAGTCTTAAAGCTGTCAAGTTTGAAGAGCCCTGGTATAAGTTCTCTTGCCAGAGCAGGGGGTTGGACTAGAAGATCTCCAAGGCCCCTTCCAACTCTCCTATTTTGTTGTTATTCTACATACAGGATTCAACAGAGCTACAGTGACAGATCAGGATTACCCAGTTACCGGGTAGTACTTGATTTACAGCCATTTGTTTAGTGACCGTTCGAAATAATAATGGCACTGAAAAAAGGGAGATATGACTGCTTTTCACACTTATATAACCATTGTAGCATCCCCATGGCTTCTGGAGTTTCAGTTTTTTGATTGTTCTGATCACTTTGTCTCCTTTCTGGAGAAAACCGGATGAATCATAGAAAGTGTTTAGACTATCCATTATCCTGTTCCTGGTAAGTCCCGATGCAGAATGGACTTCCTGCGGTATTGTTATGGATCATTTTTGGATAATCAAGATAGATAATCCTCTAGAGGTAGTCCTCAACTTACTATCAGTCGTTTAGTGACCATTCCAACTTACAGTGGCACTAAAAAGAGTGACTTATGACCATATTTCACACTCACCACTGCAGCACCTTTGTGATCACGTGATCAAAATTTGGACGCTCGGCAACTGGCATGTACTTACGGCTGTTGTGGTGTCCCAGAGTCATACTTTTGCAATCTCCTGGCAAGCAAAGCCATGGGAAGCCAGATTCACTTAACAATTGCCGTGATTTCTTTAACCATAACAAAAAAGGTTGGAAAATTGGCTAAGACTCACCTAACTGCTGCCTCGTTTAACATAGGAAGTTCTGTTCTTGATTGTGGTCGTAAGTTGAGGCCTACTTTTGCAAGGGTCACTGCCATGCACGGTTCCATTTCCTGCTGAAAAGTGTGGAGGGTATTTTGTTATCCCTACACTTTTAGTCATGCGTTGATGTATCTGGGCATCTCTTATTCAGCTCTTGGACAAATATCTGGCTAAAATTTACACAGAATTTTAATAGAAGCGGAAGAATTGTTTCATTTTAGACCAGGGATCTCCAAACTTGGCAACTTTAAGACTTGTGGACTCCCAGAGTTCCTCAGCCAGAGATGCTGGGAGTTGAAGTCTTAAAGTTGCCAAGTTTGGAGACCTAGACATAAAAATATTCTGATTTATTTTCTGGAATCTTCTCTTCAGAAAATGAACAACAGATGAAGTGAACCAGCTGGTGACAAAGCTCCAGTCCACAAAACCAGTCCTCAAAAAACACTTTTGACAAAATTGATTTTATTTTGGCTTATTGTATTTGGTAGTTGAGCGTTTTAATACATTCATAAGGACTGGTCAAATGAGATAACCTGACTCATTGGTCTATTTGCTGTGAGATAAGCTGGTATCATAAATTATTTGATGTTGAAATCTAGATTGATGCCTTCTAGAATCTATTAGGACAGGGTACCTGAAATAACATGATGGTCTTTGGGCCAAGCCAGGTGCTATGTTATAGATATGGAATTCTCTTTTTATCATGTAGAGCAGCGATGTTAAGACCTGTGGCCATTTTAAGACCTGTGGACTTCAACTCCCAGAATTCCCCAGGTAGCATGGGTGGCTGAGGAATTGTGGGAGTTGAAGTCCACAGGTCTTAAAATTGTTAAAGTTGGACACCCCTGCAATAGATGAAGCCATGCTAGCTAATGATATTTGAAGCGAAATCTAATGTATCAAGAAGAGTTGGATTGGGAAGAGGTAATTTAACAGAAAATTAAATTAGTGCTTTTCTGACTCCCTCTATATTAAAAACAATCCCTAATGTGAATGTATTTTAGCTAAGCTATTAATTCAATAACTATCAATTTGCGGGGGTATATCATCCAACATCCCTAAGATATCTATTTCCAAGGCCCTGGAAGTGTTTTAATCTAACTAATCTTCAGAGGCAAATAATATTAAAAAACAACAACAACTCTAGAACATAGATCAGTTAATGAAGAATTGCAAACTAGGTTGCTGCTAACACTGCTAATAAATTTCCATAACATGACGTATTATTATGTTATTCTTATCATAAGATGAATAACAATCTCTTCTAGGCCTCTCAAAATTGTCAAGATAGACGGGCTTTCCTTTGGAAAAACTGCATCCACATGGTTTTTTAATTTTAATAATTCATTTCATTTTTGAACTGAGGTAATGAACAGAAATTAAGATTAAAAAAAGTTAGCTTTACTTGGTTAGTTAAGAAGTTAGCTTTATTTGGGGTTTTATGGGGTTTGGTTGAATATTTGAGGGGCTGCCAAAGAGACGAGGAGGCCCGCTTATTCTCCACAGAACAAGAAACAATGGATGGAAACTAATCAAGGAGAGAAGCAACCTAGAACGAAGGGGGAATTTCCTGACAATGGAACGACTTGCCTCTAGAAGTTGTGTATGTTCCATCACTGGAGGCTTTTAAGAAGAGACAGGACAACCATTTGCCCGAAATGATATAGGGCAATGGGTTGGACTAGAAGACCTCCAAGGTCCCTTCCAACTCTGTCATTTTGTCATTCAGCGCCCCCCCCCCCTCCTTGCCTTCTACAATGTGTCTGGCTGTGTAGGAGCCCACCTGGTCTAACTTTTCTACTCTCCCCTCATTTCCAGTCAAGCCACTCGGTGCAGAAAATCTTTTTGTGGATGCTGCTCAGGAAGTTCTAGGTACCACAGCAATTGCTTTGCACCGAACCGATCCAAAGCTGCACGCTCATTCTCTCTCTCTGTCTTTTTCTTTTCCTGCTACCTTCTGTCCTGCCCATTCATCTGCTTCATAGAGGTGAGCTGTGCTAAGCCCAGGAGGTTTGGCAGAATCTTTCTCTTCCTGGCAAGACGGATAAACGGCAGGGTCTGTGAAAGAGGGCCGTCGGCTTTGGGGAAGGTGGCTTAGCAAAAGGTTTTCCAGGGCATGAGAAAAGAAAAGAAAAGAAAAGAAAAGAAAAGAAAAGAAAAGAAAAGAAAAAAAGATTTAAATGTGCCAGGGCCCCAGGTATTAATTAGTCTGCAAAGCAAAGCAAAGCAAACACACTGCACCCCAATCTCCCGCGTTATACAGGTAGTCCTCGAGTTACGACCAAAATGGAGCCCAAAATTTCTGTGGTTAAGTGAGGCAATCATTATGTGAGTTCCCCCCCCCCCCATTTTTACAGCCTGTCTTGCCACAGTTGTTAAGTGAATCTCTGCAGTTGTTATGTTAGTAACACGGTCGTTAAAGTGAATCTGGCTTCCCTATTGACTTTGCTTGTCCGAAGATCATAAAAGAGGTGTCAGGGCTCCAACATGCACCCCCCTTCAAACCATAAGTCTCTAGCCGTATCTCTCAGAGTAAAAAAAGATTGATTTATTAGGAGTTGATATGTCAGTGTTTCCTGGTTGCAGCTGACTCTGAGACACATCGTTCATTTTGTTTACTTTACTTTATTGTCACTGCAATGAAGTCAAACACCATCTTCAGTGCACATCATGACCGTGAAAATAAACACAAGCACACATCCTTCACCCTCCACATATTGAACCAAAAACCCCTGACATCGCACTAACACTGCACTATACAGCAGAATTCTAGAGAGCTACTGCCCTGGGATAGAAGCTGTTTTTCAGCCTATTTGTCCTTGTTTTTATTATTCTGTACCGTCTGCCAGGTGGTAATAGTTCAAAAAAAGGGGGTGCCCAGGATGAGATGGTTTTTTAGAATGTTTTGAACTCTTTTAAGGCAGCAGGAACTCTAAAGCTCTTCCAAAGAGGGGAGAGGGAAACCCATGATCTTCTGGGCAATGACGTTCACCCTCTGGAGTGCTTTCCTATCTGCCACTGTGCAATTGGCAAACCATACAGAGGGGCAGTATGTTAAAATGCTCTCTATGGTGCAGCAGTAGAAGGTCACCAGCAGTTTTTCATTCAGTTGTTGTTTTCCGAGAAGTCTCAGGTAGTATAATCTCTGCTGGGCCCTTTTGACCGGGGCTGCAATGTGAGCACCCCAGGTCAGGTCCCCTTTTATGGTAACACCCAGAAACTTAAAACTGGCCACTTGCTCCACTCAGTTTCCATTGATAAGCAAATAATTCATCCTTGACCCTGGTCTTCCCACCACCACCACCTGGATGTATATTCTCCAATGAGACACACCCATAGCTAACAGTCATAAATCATGCTCTCCAGTAATAATCTTGTGTGCCAACAGCTTTGGCTGCCAAGGCGATTATCTGAGGCATTTAAGGAATGCACTGCTTTCCCCCACTCCCTTTCTGCTGACAACTAAAAAGACCAAAGAAGCATTTTTTAGTTGACAGGGATCACATGACTTCCAGACACTGCAGCCATCATAAAAAGGAGTCATTTGCCAAGTGTCTGAACTTGGATCATGTAACCATGGAGATGTTTCTGCAATGGCTGTAAGTATGAAAGCTGGTCATCGGTCACTTTTTTCAATGCCGCCATAACTTTGAACAGTCACTAAATGAGCTATTATAACTCGAAGACCACCTGTATTAAAGGGAACTTTTGCTCTTTTATGCCTTTGTGGTTCCTCGATTTATAACCGTTGGTTTAGTGACCATTCAGAGTTAACAACAGCACTGAAAAAAGCAAGTTATGACCAATTCTTGCACTTGGAACTGTGGCAGAACCCTGAGGTCACGTGACCCAAATTTGGACACTTGGCAATGACGCTTATGGCAATTGCAGCATCCCGGGGTCATGTGATCATCGTTTGGGATCTTCCCAACCCGGCTTCCAACAAGCAAAATCCATGGGATTTGCTTAACAACCCCATGATTCACTTAACAACTGCAGTGACTCTTAAGAACCATGGCAAAAGGATCTTAAAATCAGACGCAACTCACTTGACAGCTGCCCTGCTTAGCAACTGAAATTGTGATTCCCAATTGTTAGGGGTAAGCCAAGGACTTCCTGTAGACCATTCCTGTTTTAGAAGATAATAAATGGAGGGCTTTTTCCCCCCTATGGGTCTTCTAGCCCACAATGCCCCCACCCGGGGGGGGGGGGGGGGGGACCTGGGCTACGTGAGTGTCAGGCCGACGTGGGTGTATGCCCGCTTAGCTTCACTCACGCTTCTCTGCACCAAAAAGCTTTTTTGCAAAGGGACCGAAGGCCTTGAAGCCGCACGAATTTGCTGCCCCGAAGCCTTTCGTCCTTTTGCAAAAGCTTTTGGATGTGCAGAAGAGAAGCCTTTGGGGCCGCGATCTCGTGCTCCTTCAGACTCACCGAGGCTGCCCTGGTTGTCACCTGTCAACCACCGGCCCCTCCAGCGGCCAAATCGGAGGAGGAGGCATGGGAGGCAGGCTCAGCATCAGGGCAACCTAAGAGCTCTTGAGGGGGAAGGGGGAATGGAGCTGTCAGAGAGGGAGGGAGGGAGGGAGAGAGAGAGAGAGAGAGAGAGAGAGAGAGAACGAACCTCGGCCGGCCGTCAGACCTCAGATGGAGAGTCAACAGCTCCCAGGTCTGGAGGTGGCTGATGAGGAAGTGTGTGTGTGTGTGTGTGGGTGTGTGTGTGTGTGAGCCCACCACTCGCATGGCCTGGTTCCAAATAGGCCGTGGCTCACTAGTGGGCAGCAGCTCAGGTGGGTTAGTAACCCCTGTTCTAGCACTTCTGCTAAGCAGGAAGAGATACGTTAGTCTGAATTTACTTTAATTGCAGGTCCCGTTAAGCGGGACTTCAGCATGACTTCAGCAATGGCAAACCAGGGTTTGGACATAATCGTCAGATCATGCAATGTTGGTTTTCCGGTTGACCCTGGGAGAGTTAAATTAGCTTGCTTCACCACCTGACATGATCGGTAAGGAAAAGGTGAGCTCCATAACTTTAATGAGATATCCCAAAGGTGCTTTTTCGAGAGGCAACTGGACTTTCTGGGTTTTTCTTTTTTTTCTTTGAAGACATTTTGCTTCTATTCCAAGAAGCTTCTTCAGGTCTGAGAGCTGAAACAGCTTCTTGGATGAGAAGCAAAACATCTTCAAAGAAACCCCGCCCCCCAGAAAGTCCAGTTGCCTCTGGAAAAAGCAGCTTTGGGATGACCTGGATGACTGAGAATCTCCACAGACATTTAATGAGATATAAACACTTATTGTGACAAAACTCCTTCCTTTCTGTTAAAGTCAGACTCTTAGGATGCATACCTTGTAGCACTTCCCTTGCTTATTGTTCCCTCTGCATGGTGGGTGTTTGTTTTTTTCGGTTGAGTGTGGACCTGTTGGTGCAAGGTCCAGTGAGATAGTCACAAATACTTGCTTGGTTGTGTTCTGACCCAAACCTTGTTCCAAGGAAACCAACACGAAACAGAGGTAACAGCGAAACCTTTTAATGATTCTTTACGAATTCCGTTCCATCACAGTTAAAAGGCTGTTTCAAACTAGTTGTCTCTGATAAGAACAAGCCTTGCCAAGGTGGTGCAAGGCTGCCAAGGATGCTAGATAAAGTTACTAAGAAATATTTCAAACATAAAGAGTCTCCAAACACCAACCAAGATATTCTGAACGTCCACATGGTTTGAGTGCAAAAACTTCTTTGCTTCCTGCAAAGAACTCCAGTTTCTCAGCTGGCTTTTATCTCTTATGGGAGGGGCCATTACCTTGCAGCCTTACTCCCGAGTCACCTGTGTTGCTGCAGCTGCTCTTTCCTTCGAGCAGCCCTGCATGCACGCACACTGGGCACAGGCTCCTCGGGGGCCTCTTCCTCACTGCTGCCAGCCTCCACAAACTCCGAAGGCAGCACTCCACTCCACTCCTGATGGTCCTGGCCCCATCCCTGCATCCCACGCAGGCCCCTCATCCGAGTTCTCACTCTCCGAGACCTCAGCCATCCGCACCTGCTGCCAGCAAACCACAACAGGTTGATGAATCAGGAATCCAGCTTGATTCCTGAAGGCATCTAGGATGAATCGAAATGACTGAAGCTGCCACTCTGTAAATGAACGCCCCCCCCAATCTTTTGCGGGGCCAGGGAGAGGGTTCCACGGAGAAAGGTTTTTCCGTGGACGAGAGGGTGCGTGGTTTCACGTGCTGCCTGCATCCCACAGATGGGGTTTCACTTGTTCCACAGCCTGGTTTTTGGAACTGGGGCAGAGGTGGTATCCAGCAGGTTCTGACCAGTTCTGAAGAACCAGTAGTGGAAATTTTGAATAGTTCGGAGAACCGGCCAATCCCACCTCTGACTGGCCCCACCCCCATCTATTCTCTGCCTCCCATTGAGTCCCACCTGATCGGCTGGGTCTTCTTTGGTTGCCCTGCATAGGAGAACAGAGCTGGAAAGCAGGTTAGTGGGATGGGGAGGGAATGGAGATTTTGCAGAATTCCTCCCCTGCCACACGCCCACAGAACTGGTAGTAAAAATTTTTGAATCCCACCACTGGACTGGGGGGTTGTGGTTCCCTGTTCTAAAGTATATCAAGATACCCTTTTTTGTTTTCGTTGTTTAAGTTATAGCGAGAAGGTCCTATGTTACAAATTCCAAAAGGGAAACTGTTTTTTGTTTTTCCTTGAAGACGTTTCACTTTTCATCCAAGGAGCTTCTTCAGTTCTGACTGAATGATGGAGGATGGAAGGATTTATATTCCTTGCATCCCCTGGTTGTTAGCATTCTCTCTAAGGGTCATTGAGGCCACTGGGAGGTTTATGCTAATGACCAGATGACTGCAAGGAATATAAAT